GATACATTTTTCCATTCATCCTTCCTTCAATTATATGAAGTTTGCCAGTACAGTGTCCTGAAAAACAGCCCCACACCATGATGTTCCCACCTCTAAACTTCACTGTTGGTGTGGTGTTTTTGGGGTGATGTGCAGTGCCATTTGTCCTCCAAACATGGTGTGTATTATGGCATCCAAAGAGTTCAATTTTGGTCTCACTGACCAGACTATTCTCTCAGTCTTGTGTGCCACCTTGGTAATGAGACACCTTCTTATAGGCCATCAGTTGGGACTGAACCAACTGATATGAATTTGCACCGACAAGGGGGCAGGATTGTTTTCTAATTACTGGTTGATTTCAGCTAGTGTCTTGGCTTTCCATGCTTTTTTGCATCTCCCTTTCTTCATGTGTTCAATACTTTTTCCCAGTGTCAGTTCTCCAGTTGATGTCATTAAGCCACTGCAGAAAGAGAGGATGCAACATAAAGGCAAATATGATAAAACTCCAGTCAAACTTCCAGTAGAGAAAAAGTATGAAGAAAACATAAAGAAAACAATTAGATACAACAACAACCGATGTGATGCTTCATCATATACTTCATCTAAAAAATCTTTCCACATCAAAAAAAAAAAAAGTTAAGTTTAGTTAAATTAATTAAAATTTTAATTAATTTAACTATTCATACTCAGGAATTTTTAAATTCAAATTGAAAAGGTAAGTGGATGGAAACATGCATATTGTTCAGCACGATCAACAAATTCCCTGAAAAGACAAATGCTGTCATGTATTTTGCTGTAACTTGCAGTCCCAAACAGACTGCTCACCTTTACAACACATACACATTTATATACAGCTCACATTTATATGGTTAGATTTTTAAAAGTGCACTGTGACCTCCTAAGTCAACTGGGAAATGTAGTTTTTAAGAAAACACACTAAAACAGGAGGAATTTGTGCATCTCAGGGGACGACTTTCACTTGTGGATTAATACATATTTATGCAGCTAATGGAATGGAAATATGCTCTCGTGAGTATTTTTTGACAGATCATTTTTCACAGACATGAATGTTGACATAAATTATTTACTTGCTTGACTAAGCAGATGAAATCTATCTTCACTACAATTCATGAGGGACATTTCACTTGCAAATCTGCCAGAATTTTGCCCTTTACGCACAGATTCATATGGTGAAATGAAATGCAGTCCAAGTGTGGTTGCATTCTTTGTGGTTGTGGTAAATGAAGCCAGCTCAAGCAAATAAACACCAACCAAGGTCTACATTTTTGTTGACTCTGCAGCTGCTGCATTTGTTGTGGTTGTGTTTAAATAAGTGACTAGTGTTCACTCTTCGCCAAAGCAGCAGATTTTCTGGGAATCAGAATTAAGAATGTTTACATGGTGCCGTCTGATAACAGGTGAACTGCTTCACACACTTTTTAATCCACCTGATACAGTTTGTTGATTACTTGTTTGCTACTGGTGTGGCCAGATTTCATTTAACATTCACATTTGTATGGATATAAAAATTAATAGCAAAATAAGTGGTAACATTCTTTTTTGAAACCTCGAAATCAGTGCTACAGAAGAAAAAACTTGCATGCCTAAATCATACCTATATAACACCACCTTCCTAAAATAATGGCCAAAGTTTTTTTTTTTTTTGACAAAAATGATTGTTATTTGCCTAAATCTCCTCATGATGCTGGCAACCTCTGGGAAAATCACCGACTTCCTCAGGTGAACAGGTCGTGCGATTCTACCCTGTAGAGTGCGACTTAGGTGGTTTTATTTTGCCAAAGTTAAGAACAGATGCATCTTGAAAAGCAATTTAACAAGCATTTCAAGATGGCAGCTGCTTCAAGAAGAACAAAAATCTGTCTAGCCGCTGAAGTTATTTCCATGGTTCAGGGCTCGTCCCCAATTGGTAAGTGATGAGATTTAGTACAATATAGGCTTGTTGTTATTTAGTCTTTTTGTTCAGTCTTTTAAGTCAACAAAATAGCTAAGTCCATGAGGCTAGCATTTAGCAGAGAGTGAAAAGGTTCCAGAATCTAGGGCAGTTACAAGCAAGAGGGTTTCTGTTAACTCTTTTCTGTCTTTTCACACTATATTTCATTTACAATTTTTGTCTAATTGTTCCACATTACATGATCTAATTAAGAAATATTTGAATACTCTATTGTAATCAAACATCTAGAAATTATGTGCATACCTAAAAAAAATACAAAGGATCCTCTTTACTTTTGTGTCTTTATTTATTGAAAATCTCACCTGAATATACATCCATCCATTATCTATACACCGCTTAATCCTCATTAATGTCACGGGGGGCAGGAACCTATCTCAGCTGACTCAGGGTGAAGGCAGGATTCACACATCAGCGGGACACAGAGAGATAAACAAGCACACTCACATTCACACAGATGAACAATTTAAAATCACAGGGAGAACATGCCAACTCCACACAGAAAGATCCCAGGCAGGTGCTAGCCACTGCATCATGGTACCGCCCCTATTAGGAATCAGTTTGTAAGAAAAAATTAAAAGTAATCTGAAAAATGCAGAAAATTAAATCAGATAATTGGCCAGAGGGGCTGCAAGGTGACTCAGTGGTTAGGACTGTTGCCTCGCAGCAAGAAGGTCGCCGATTTGCGTCCCATTGAGGACGCCTGGGATCTTTCTACATGGAGTTTGCATGTTCTCCCCGTGCAGCATGGGTTCTCTCTGGGTTCTTCGGGTTCCTCCCACAAGTCCAAAAACATGTTGAGGTTAATTGGTGATTCTAAATTGTCCGTAGGTGTGAATGTGAGTGTGCTTGGTTGTCTGTCTCTAAGTGTAGCCCTGTGATAGACTGGCGACCTGTCCAGGGTGTCCTCTGCCTTCACCCTGAGTCAGCTGGGATAGACTCCAGCCCCCTGCGACCCTAGTGAGGATTAGGCCGTGTATAGATAATGAATGGATAATTGTCCAGAATGATAATTGTCAACCCCAAATGCATAATGAATTGCAAAATGAGTTTTTTAAAGTATAAATTATGCAGTCAAAGATAGAATACATGCTAAAGTCTTATTTGCATGGTATCCTGATGCTGCATGTGTGTTGTTGTTTTTGCAGGTATTTTACACAGGAGATCAAGACTAGAGAATGATTCTGTGTATTCATGGTGGTAGTTTCTTACAAGTTTGTGCATAATTTTAAACCACTGAAGTTCACAGTCTGATAATTGGCTCATCTCACTGTGTGTAATAATCTGTCAAAGGAGATCAGGGAAGCTTGTTATATATTCATGTGGCCAGCTACATAACCTACTTCTATAACTATATGCTTTGCATACGATTTGACTTTAGAACAATTACACGATCGACCTGTCCAGGATGTCCCCTGCCTTCGCCCTAAGTCGGCTGGGATAGACTCCAGCCCCCCCACGACCCTCGTAAGGATTAAGTGGTGTATAGATAATAGATGGATGGACAATTACACGATGGTATATCAATGCATTCCTGCCATAAATTCTGCATAAGGCAGTAGTCATTGCAGTGTTCTCCATCCTCCTGCAGGTGGCTCCTGTGGTGAGAGAGTGCATGATGAAGGAGGCCATAATGATGATGAGTTACCAGCACCAATGTGACAAACCCAACTGTATCAGAATGATCATCATCAGCTCCCAGGGCAGCAAGCAGGACATGGACTTTGTCCTGGATGAGAAACACAATCTGGGAAAGGACTTGTAATGAATGAATCATACCCACAAAGAACCCTTCCTTTATCGGTCACAGATGGACATTCTCACAACAGTCGTGGTGGAATAGGAAGGAGGAGCAGTTCTGATATAAATAATTATTGATTTTTTTAAAGATACATGATGATCTGACTGACAAACAGTTTTCTGTTCACAAAAAAATCCCAATGAAATTAGGACATATGCCATATAATTTTACTCAAATGTCAAATCGCAAACAGTGTATCACTTGTAGTTTTGTTTTTTCCAAATGTATGTGTTTATCTTTTGACATATGCATGTTTTTTTTGTGGGGTTTTTTGCAAACTTCATACACACTCAATTATCATCATTACTTTCTTTTTGGTATTCATTACATTGCCTGTGTGTCATGTGGGTTTGGCTGCTATGGTAACTATGGGATATTATGATGTTATGAAACTGCTACAGCAAAGGTATTAGCAGACATTACCCAGAGCAATGTTAGCATTCAGCTCCATTCCTGTCCAAGTCCCATATTTACTCCATCTTTTCGCTCTGGTTTTGGGCTCCACTAACTCCTAAGGGAATATCTGGCTTTTCAGCTGCTTTGTACTCCACTTTGTTCACCAGTTGGTCTCTCATTGTATCTGTCTGCTGTTTTAGTGCTGGGCAGGTGGTGTACAGTGAAGGTTTTTACTGCTGTTGTTTAAAAAAAAAAAAAAAGAAAGAAAGAAAAGAAAAAAACACCCGCAGATGCTAGAAATGTACACTGATGACAGCAGTCATTTATTCAAAACAGTTAAATTGCACACCAGAAAACCAACACAATGAGCTGAAAGACGCTACAGTATTCTGTAGATGTCTAAAGCTGCCACCAGCATCTGATCAAAAAAGACCACAAGCTAGTATGTTCTGTACAAAGTAGTCTAGGGTCATTTCACTTGTTGTGTCTTTAGCCACTTGTCTGCCCTGCTGCACACTCTGTTGTGTGCTCCCACAGGGTTAAACGTTTTTCAGGTCATTGAAACTTGCAAGATAAACTCACTTAGCTACAAATACAAATGCATGCTGAGGCTTTTAAGATGCTGCCCAGCTTATTCTACAAAGCCTTTGTCGACCTGCTGGCTTTTAGTAAAACATCCCAGCTCAGTTTTCCAGCCCTCAGATAGGTTGTGTAAGCTACTGCTCTGCAAACGAAATAAATAGCCGCAGAATACCTCATTTAAATGCTGATGACTAATGTCCTACCTGATGACTAATGTGCCTTGAATAAAACATATGGACACTTATAAGCACAGCCAAGACCAGACTCAATAAATTTTTTTTGTTAGGTTGTTTGTTTTTATTTATATCCGACATATAAAAGACTATTCACAGTGAAACGTTTTCTTCAAATAACAAAAGGTGAAAATCACAGAAAATAGTTGCACAAGACAGTCTGCTCGATACATGATTCATGACTAAAATGTAGAAATGAATACACACAAAATTTACTTTCACACCTTTCTGCATCTACACAGATCAAATAATCGAAAAGTATTTTAAACCATAGTGTCTGTGTTACAACAAAACCACAGGCAAACATTGTCTTGTCTTCAATAAATTGTGTGAAAACTGTGTGACATTTTTAAAGTAGATTTCAGTTGAGAGGTGATTACGAGAAAGGAAGTGAGAGAACATTAAGTACAAGCTGTAAATCCCAGCTGATGCCAGTGTGAGGCCCTTTTTCCCAAAAACTGCTGAATAAGCAGACAAGAAAGAATGCATGACAAATACTCTGGCTGCCCACAAGTCTGTCCCTGACAGATGAGTAAAGTTGGTGAGAGACACTGGTCATTCATCACAAGTCCTTCCCCAGATTGTGTATCTCATCCAGGACAAAGTCCATGTCCTGCCTGCTGACCTGAGGGCTGATGATGATCATTCTGAAGAAGTTGGCTTTGTCTCCATGGGGCTGATACCCCACCATCATGCTGCCTGTTTTCATCATGCGTTCTTTAACCACTGGGGCCACCTGCAGGATGGGGAGGATTCATTGCAATGACTGACGATACTGACACAAAAAGATATGGAGTTAGACATGAAGATATTTCTCTTTAGTAATAAGTTTCTTACAGTGTGGAGCTTCTGGTAGAGCTCAGGGCCATCTGGAAGGTTCCTCAGACTTGGTGGAATGTACCAGAAGCAAACATTTGCATATTCGGGCTGTAGAGAAACAAAAAACAAACCAATCCCATAAATATATTAAAACTGAATTGAAATTCACCTTTTTAATATTTTACAGCTTCACCATGAAAAAAGCGTGATGATGTGAATGCAGTGATGTAGTGTGTAGCTACAGATCAACTTACTTCCATCAACAAACGGAATCCTTTTCTTTTCTTGATCTCTTGTGCAAGATACCTGCAAAAAAAACAAAAAAAACGTTTAGCTTCAGAATCAAGAAAGATTACTGTGTGACTTGCAGGTGAAAGATTCTGGCAACAAAAATTCATTAGCATAGCACTTCTATTGCAGGATGTTGCCATTCAAAGTGTTTTAAAAGCCTATAATAAGTGGAGTAGTGAAATGAGTTGAGACAAATGCACAGATGTTATCATATTTACATGATTGTTCATAATTTTAAGTATGACCTGTTTAGGAAAAAATATCAATCATAAATAGCTTTTACATGTTTTGTTTTTTTTTTCAAATAAAATTGATAAAAGTACATTTAGCTTCAAATAACCACTAGAGGGCACTGTGCACCAACTGACTCCTTTAAATCAAAGCAAAAATAATGACTTGTGCATCAATCTGCACCTTATAGATTATTTAATACAGTTTAATTAACTGTGGTCTGACTTACTCAGTCTGCATGTGTGTTGAGAACTGATCTCGATTTCCCAATAATAACATAATAACTGGACTTCTGTGCAGCTAAACGCAGCTTCTATCTTCATGCAATCAAACATATAACTCTTTTGGGTTTTTCTTTTTTTTTTCAATGACTTTGTCTTTATCTGCAGTTTGCATGAACTATGGTTCAGTGGTATGGCAGACCACTGCATCAGGTCTTCTGTGCTAACCTGATTTAACTGAGCGTGCCACGTTATTGCTGAAGGTTATCTGCAGCCTTACAATGCCGGTCTTTCCTCAGACTGACCTGGCCATGGCGAGCGCTCTGTCCACCCTCTGCTCCAGCTGACTAGTTCCCAAAGCCTTCCACATGAGCCAGAACTTGAAGGCATCCGGCTTCCTGCTGCACTGGAGCGACTTGTCCCCCGTGTCATAACTGATGTCATAGAACTTATCCTGCTGGAACAGGTAGGAGGCCCGGTTTGAGTGGCAGCGCTGGAGGAGACTCTGAGGAAACACAATGGCAAGGATGGTTTATACACACACCGGGAAAGGCTCAGGAATAAACAGACCTAGTTTACAAGACACTTTAATTAGTTTCAAAAAGACATTGTAAAAGTGCTTAGAAGGGTGTTTGTGGCCAAAAAGAATGTGTGCATGCACAAGAAGCAAATGCAAAACTGGGCATTCTCTGCCTTTATGGGGAACTATGAGGTTATAAGGCTGCTGACCCAGGGCCAGTATTTGCAGATTGCCAGATTGACATTGTCCGTTAAATATGAATGTGTCAGTAAATGAACTTCAGAAGGATTGGCAGAGCACATTCTGTGACATTGGCTAGCTGTTTACACTTTTTATTCTAAGCTGAGCAAACCAACTGTTGTATGTAGCTTCACATACTGTATAGCATACAAATATAGGAGGTGCATCCATCTTCTCATCTAACTTTTAGCAAGAAGCCATGTGTATGTCCAAAATGTCCAACTCTTCCTGTAAAGCTGTGGTTGTTACAAGGTAACATGATATTTTGCAGGATGCATTTTACAGAATATGTCAGCTGCACAGTTGTCTGCTGCCACTCACAATCTTACAAATCTCTATTTCTCCAAGTCTCAAACAAACCAAATTCTTCTGTCAGCTCATCTTTTGCGAATGTGAGACAACAAGAAAACTGGACTGTAGTGAACTACACAGTCAGGTCTAAAACCAGTAACAGGTTGAGGCTCACTGATTTCCATCCAGCTGAAGAGTTAAAAAAAAACACACTTCCCCTTTTTTTACTGCCAAAGCTACACTGTCTACATTCACACATACAGGTTAGACTGGAATTTTATCCACACTCAGGCCTCAACTTGATAATGGCTTCATTCAGACATGCCCATGACTGTGACAGAGAGAGCCACAGTGTATGTGCAATAGTGGTCATGGACACAAGATTGGACAGTACATCAAGTGATGTATATCACCTAATAATGCATCAATCAAGAAAGAGCTACATCTAAACTAGTAGCTAGCTTGTCAAACCAGCCAAACAACTAACGATCTAGTTCATTTGGGATTTCCAAAGCACTGAAAGTTCTGTCCATGTGTGCTTGTGTATGGCCTTGTGTATGACAGTTCACCTGTGTGAGGTTTAAAAAAAAAAGTGCACAGTGTGACTTGCTATTAAATCTTCACCTAGAATGATCCTTCCCTCCATCTTGGAGATAATTTGTATGTATAATTAATTAATGAAGTTACTGCTGAAGTGCCACATGTGTAAATGTCTCAATTAGGAGAGACACATATGGATCCTGTTGCAGTCTGATGCTGTAGGTATTAAATAACTCAGAGGAAAGACTGCTACAAACAGCTGGAAACAACAAACTACATTTACAGTAAAGTTTTGGTTTTAAACACATTTTGGTTTGTAGCTAATACATGGGAACTTTGGTGCACAAATTGTGACATAGGGATGTTTTTTGTCTGGTATTAGTGCTGAAATGTAGGAAAAGCCTTCCCCAAACTGCTTCACACAATTTGAAGTGTGTAATTTGTGCATGCCTAGCAGTTATTGCAGTTCAGCTTTATCCCATCATGAAAGTGATATGTTAATATTAATAGGTCAAACCCACTAAGACTGCTGTCACAACTGTTACAGAGAAGTGACCAGGTGCTCGGAGTGCATATCTGAAATGGGCTTCATATTGCAGATGGAACACTTGTATGACTTGGATGGTCATGAAATTGTTCCAGTTGATTCATCAGTCAAAATGATTAACTGTGTTGTACAATGTGTGGTAAGAAGGTACGATCTTGTGTACGTAACATTTTCAAAGGGTAACTCCAACTCTAACTATGACTCCCAAGGTGCAATTCATCAAGAAACTCCAAATCGCTGATCTTAAAACCCAAATTGCAGCTGACTCCGAGCCATATCTGACTCAAAACATGATTTACATAACAGTCCCATGCTTTTTACTGCTCTAATGCAAATGTGGCCATAGACTGTATGTAAAAGCTGAACATAAAGTAGACTCTGGGTCTGTCAAGCAAAGCTAACACAGAAGTGCCTGAAACCAATCGTTTTTTTAATGACCAGTAGGGGGCAACATCTCTGGCTGCAAAAAGAATTCTATAAGTCTGTTTCTCGCTTCATCTGTTACCGTGATAAAAATGTTCTGATTGATTTTATGGTCTTAGTCTCTAGTTTCAAGTCTCCTTCAATACAGTATGGTGCTCATTTAGGAAATAATGCTCCCATTTAAAGTAAAAACAACAATAAAGGAGGGTAAGGACACCTTGATTAACAGGTTGCTACCATAGCATCCTTGAGTCGTCAGTCAGCTCTGCTCCTTAATTGTAATATCTGGTTTTAAAAGACCAAGATAGTGACGGTGACATGCCCAATATGTCACATGAAATGCTTTTTTCTTAAATCTCACATAAGACATGGAAAGACAAATGAGACAGATTGATAGTTTTCATGCACAGTCTTTATATTTGTCCTTACCTACGAAACGTTAGCCACACTTGACACAAGTTCTAATGTATGTGTTTTAATGCAACACTGAAGTTTGTAGTTCAATGACAATGTACCTAATACAGTGATGAAACAAACTAGAATGACAACTTCTACATTCCTAGCAACTCCATAGAAATCTACTGAACATCACAAAAGAACAGGAAATACACACATGAATGAAAAATGGAGCAAGTATTCAAAAGATAGAATTGTAATGTTACATAACCATAAATTGGTATTTGCTTTCCAATTCTCTTTCTCGCTTACTTGTGTATGCTACACCTTGTAAACAATGACACACACATGTTTGCTGATTGTAATGCATCATTTCTTCTTCTGACAACAAATGAAACGGAACACAAACTGCAAAGGTGTAGCCTCATTTTAGGGCACTATAGAGCCTAAAGAAAAATAAAATAATAATTTAGAAAAAGCTTGTCTTACTGTTTTGTCTCTGACCAGGAAAGCAGAACATTGCAGACATGCCATCAGCATCTTATGAGGGTTCCAGGCCACAGAGTCAGCTCTTATCAGAAGCAAACAGGAAAAAACAAGGTTACCGTCAGTGTGTTATCACATGAAGCATCTGGAATTTCACGTCACCAAGATGTAGCAATGCTTTCTTGACAGTTCAGGTACTAATGCAGAGCAATGAAATGATCTCTATCAGAAATGTTGCTGTAGACTGATGACACCATTTACCTGTGGATGCCCTTCAACAAGTGCCTGTGCTTTTTAGACATGAGAGCTGCTCCTCCCCAACATGCCTGAAGAAACAAAAGAGAACATAATGATGATGAACACCGATGGCCAGACGTAGCTACAGGGAATGAAGGAACTAATTAATTGCTGAGCTCACGTCCACATGCAGCCACAGGTTGTGCTTCTCACAGATGTCTGCAATTTCCTCGATGGGATCAAAAGCTCCAAGCACTGTGGTCCCCGCTGTGGCGTTTACCATGAAAGGAGCTGCACCCTGAGCACACACACACAAGAACATGTTACTCTATATTTCTGTTACATTTCCGCTTTAAAAGCCCTTCAAACAAACTAATGACAAGTAATCCAGCTTCCTCACCTCACTTTTAGCCATCTTTATTTTGTCCTCCAGAGCAGAAGGAATCATCTTTCCTCTGACAGACACACACAATTATTCATTAGTCAGTTTGGGATAAAATCACAAACCAAATCTATTCATTGCCTGAATCAAATTTTTACACTTTTACTCGAATGTCTTGGAAAATAACCAGAATATCAGGTAGGAATAGAACGTATATGTGAGGTACCTTACCTGTTATCAGATGGCACCACATAGACGTTCTTTGTTCCAATTCCCAGTAAAGCTGCTGCTTTGGCAATGGAGTAATGACACTGAAAGAGATTTTTTTTTTTTTAAAGAGTAATTTCTTTTAACACAGGCACAATACATAATTATACAATGCAGATCTGATTTCTGCTTCACCATATGAATCACTGTTTAAAGAAGCCAGGGGTGGAACATTTGTAAGCTGAATCCCTCATGAGATGTCTCTCACTGGTTTTTGTGTTTCAAATGATCACTTGGTAACACTACCTTTGTGCCTTCTGAAAGGTACAAAAAACTTTTTGAGAAAGGATGCACTTTGATCTGACAACATGTGTCTGAAAAATACACAGAATACCATAAACTGCTGGACTACAAACTAAAATTTCTGCACTTTTGAAGAGCAGTGAACATCATGATACTTTTCCAGTACACCCTAAGGAGCCATATTGCTCATAACTGCAATGGGCAGCAAAGACTGGAGGATACTTTCACTTTTCCTAAATTTGGCTTAAGCCAGATAAGTGGGAAGAATAGGTGTTCATGTCTCTGGAAATATCCAGGAGCAAAACTGAAAGGCAAAAGTGGATTTTCACTTTGCAATATAACGGCAGAAATGGCTCAGATCACTGTAGCTCTGGTTAAGTGGAGAAAAAAGTCATGTAAGCAAAAACAAATCACAAACAACCTACATGCTACAGAACCTGCACCCGTGACCAACAGCTTTAAAAATGATAAGTGCATGTAGTCGTGATGCGACAGGAGCAGCTGGAGCAGAATTAGAACTGTTAGGACCCAGAAAGATTCACAAATCAGATGGAAGAAGAGATGAAATGATGAACCTGTGGCAGTAATGGTAAGGCTGTGTCATCAGACGTGTGAGTCATACAAGGATTATTACCTGCTGCCTTCCTGATGCGGTAGAAAACAACATACCTAAAAATGGCTCTGCCTTGCTATCTATAAAATCAGAATGTTACTCAGTTTGTCTTTGATATCCACATCGAACTGCTAGAGTTCAAAGAGTACAGCCATTTGTTTGTGGCCTGCTACCAACAGCGGACTACTGGAACTGAATACATGGCTTTCCAAAAGTTGCAACACCAAACAAATTAAGCAGTGCTGGTGGCCTTCATGGAATGAAGACATTTATAGATAATCTTGTGTCACATGTTCCCCTTCCTTCGGACGTTCCAGAAAATCTAACCAATATTCTCTGAGGCAAAGAGGACAAATCATCTCTGGTTGATAACATTCATGTGGATCCCTCTCTCATCTGTTCAGCTGGGCTTCACTGTCAGACTGGAAGCGCTGATCCATGCTGGCAGCAAGTCTCACATAGCCAGACCATCCTCTAGCGCTGACAAAGCAACGTGTTGAATAGTCTGACTGCACCTCATTATCATTCTGTTACACAAGAAAAATGTGTTTGCATTTCTTTAAACTAATCGCTGTGGTCTTGGGTGGTGCTAAGAAATGCCGTCCCCTCAAAATAGATATGGGGGAGCTGCCTTAGCAGAACATTAGCTTGGAGAAAGGCAAGCCCTGTCAGTAAAATGGGTAAGTGAACAGAAAAAAAAGCAGGGCTGCCTTACTACATGATCCAACTTCATCAAAAGTTATTGTTGTTGTTTCTCATAGTGAAAGGGATTCTGAAAACAGCGCCATGTAGATAGATAACGGGGAGGAGAAAGCTGCATTAAACCCACAGCCAATGGCAGGCATGTATCCCACAGTCTACCTCTGGTGAATCAGACATGCAGCTTACAAACACGTCCCCTTCCCCACGTCCCTTCAGTTTTCATTATGTTGTACACCCCTTCCTCTCGCTCTAGCCCAGTCTGCTCTCAGTGCCAGCCATCATCTGAGAGAAAAACAAAGGACAGCCACCACCCGTCCATCTCAATCTGCACCGGCTGAACTGGGCACAGTCAGTGCTGCCAGCTGCACTGATAAAAAACAGGCACAAAGTAAGACCCATCCCTGTCACCATGGAGACGTCATTCCTTAACAGTTCAAATATAGGACTCGGATCCAGTGGCGATGATGTTATCCTGTCAATGCCTTCCCGAATTCCTGTTTTTATAAGAATTGCAGGATAGAAATTGTGTGCAGCTCAGCCTGCGCTTGTATCAAGTTTAATTTTTCTGCTTCTGAGCTTTGTTCAAACACAGCACCTGGTGCTGCTAAATGTCAGATCCCTCGCAGGCAAATCATTTTTGATTAGTGACTTTTTCACAGATTATAAATGGGTTTGATGTTTTTAGCCGAGACATCGTGGGACCAAAACAGCAGTACTACAGTTCTTTTATGAGACAGCTCCCTGTAATTTTAATTTTGTCAATGCAGTCAGAGCCGAAAAGAGAGGAAGTAAATTTACTGTTTTATTGAGTGCAACAAGATACTCGTACATCTTTTGAACATCTTTCTAGTCAAAATGCCAAACAAAAAAAGCATGAAGAACAGCAGAACATAAATGGAAAAAAATAAACCTCCAAAATGAGTGTAAGCTCTGCAGAGAGAGTCATCACATTTACAATGGTAGACTGAAAAGTTGAAGACAATGGTTTTTTCTTAATTAATTTCTTAATGAACAATTACAATAATAATGCACACACACTATATGATGGTGTGGACAAGTTTGCCACTTCACAAATACCAGTATCTGCAGAACTCGTTTCTGCCGAGCCTGTCAAAGACGTTTCTTTTTTTACTATTACTGCAAAAATCTATAAGGAAAACTATTAGTTCTACCTCACTGGATCACAATATTATGCCTCAACATTCAGCAAAGATGGTAAAGATGACTCATTTGATTCCTTTAAACCTCAAACTCTTTAGGAAATTGTCTTTCTCCTGAAAACATTCACAAGCTGCCTTGATATTCTGCCCTTAAGTTCTTAGTTGTATATCAGTGCTTTCTAATATATGTCTATCTTGACAATCTATAGTTAAGAAACAAAAGTAAAGTCAGAAAATAAATTCCAGTAACCACATTAAATTCAGATCAGCCTTCCACCACCTTAAAGCTGCAGTAAGCAGAAATTTAGAAAAGAATGAAAATAGAAAAATGAAATTAGAGTTTGAAAATACACAGCATTGTCCTCAGCTCATCTTCTTTCTGTTGTTAGGTCCTCCCACCAGACAAGCATGTGCTTCAAACACACAAAAATCAAAGTCAAACTAAAAGTCAAGACTATTTGTGGCTTTTCCCAGGATTTAAACCCCACTCTCTGGAATGAAAGCCCTTCTTCTAACCCATTGTGCCACCATATCCTGTTCTGACTGTGGATTTTGTCCAATCTGATCAGCGAAAAGACTTGTGATTGGCTAAAATCCCCCATCATAAAGAATGAAAACTAAGCCAAGAGAAGGTGCAGGAGTCAAGTTTCCTGTCACATCAGTTTAACTAAAATGCTGAAAGGTTAGTACAGAATTTTTGCACAGTGATGCTAAAGACAATCACTGTCTGTCCCAGCTTCAACTATACCAGAAGAATCCTTCATTTTAAGAGAAATTCAAGCATACCTTTATACCTCGTAGAGTCGGCTACTGTTACTCACGTTATAAGGGCCTGCAACATGTTACCAGCCTGACACAGAATTTAAAACATTATTACTTGTTCATAAATCACTGAAGGCTTTGGCCCAACTTAAATGTTAGCTATGCTCGATTACATGAACTTTCCAGAACTCTCAGGTCAGCTGGGTCTGGCCTGCTGGTTCTTCCTCTAGACGTGGTGAAGCCACCTTTAGCTTCAATGCAGCTCACATTTGGAGCAAATTAAGACTCAAGATAAAGCTACTTTCCAATCAAAGCGAAAAACTTGTCTGTTTGCTTTTAATTAACATTATGTGCATTTTAGTTTATTTTTTCATTCTAGTTTTATTCTTTTTTTGTTTCTTTTTATTACTTTTATATGATCTGTGTGAAGCAACATAAACTACCTTGTGACTGAAACTGTAGCATACATTTCTGTGAAAAACACAATAGAAAAGAATGTTCTGTTTATTAAGAGGGTAAGAATAAAGATGGAGGGAAATTCGAACACAGCTAATTTATGCCAAGAATTTCATTCAGGCAGAGGTGTATATTTAGCATAGGAATAAGGAAAATGTGATCCCTGGAAATATGTTCTCAGGTCTAGACTCACTACAAAAATCCAGCCACAAGTATCTTTTGGGGTGGCATTTAGTGAGCACCTTATACCCTTATCAAACCTACCTCCTGTGAAGTGAACATGACCAGTCGTGGTGCAGCAGAGAGGCCGAGCTCTTTAATGTCAGGACAGTGATTGTATCTCGCTAAGTTCACGGCGTACATGTTGGACATAGAGCCACCTAAACGGAAAGCAGCATACAGGATGGAGTTAAGACAAAGATATTAAGGTACAACATTATCACTGATTTGCCCTTGATTCCACACACACTACCTGCAACACGTGGTCGTAGGTAGGAAAATCCCAGACAGCAAAAATTACTCTGGCTTCCATTATACAACATGGAATGATGATACATGGGCGGCCCCCGCCTGATTAGAGACCTGCATGTGGTCGACGATTGGCTGCCATGAGTGGACCCCCCATGGGTCATCACTCTACGCCAGTGTGTGGGCCACATTTTGCAATCAGGGAAGTGATTTTCTCTTGTCCTAGCAGCAGAAGAATAAACACCAGTATCTGTCGGTGATTGTACCTGCATTGAAAATTCCCTCTCCTCCTTCCTCCCAGCCGATTAACTTCATCATCTTCCTCAGCACAGCATCCTCCATCAGGGTGAAGACTGGAGCCACCTCATATGTGTATCTGGTGGAACAGATATATTGATGCTCTTTTTCAAAGTCATGTGTTACATTATTGAGTATAATTAGAAATAAAATATGAATCAGTTATTAAATTAATAGTTAGGACAGAGCTAAACAATATTTTAAAATATGTATTTAAAACCTTCCAAAATGAGTATTTGCAACCTTTACACAAAAGTTTTGGTAAACACAACATTTATACCTGAAATGTTATCAAAGCCTTCAAGTTGCCTTAATTTCCCATTTTAAATTAAAAAAAAGGAAAAGTTTGCCAGGCACAAGCTAGAAATGATTGCAATTCTCACAGAGAGCACTGTTATTGCCAAAAGTAAGAGGTAATGCAACATCATCACCTACGCAAGTCCATCTTATCTGTTGCAAACTGTAGGAAATGTTTTATACTTAAGGTATTCAAGTGACAATTACACTTTTAGGGGTAATGCACGAGTTTACATAATACTTCAACCATGACAACACCATGAGTTTACATCCTGTAGGATTTCTACACTGACATTTAGCTATTACAGTAGGAAGGGTGACTCACAGACTGGGTTTGAGGGCTTCAGCAATGAAGCTTGCCACCATCGAGTAAGGCTCCATCCCAGCATACAGCTGGTTGAAGAAACGAGGATGGGCTAGAAATAGCACAAAACAGAATTAGAACAGGTAACAGCTAAATCGATGTTACGTTGCAATGTTACTAATGCAAACTCCCTATAGATGCATGTGTTTGGATGTACGTTTTTTTTTTTCAGTCAAAAGTGACAATTATACAACACAAATTTGTGTCTACTCCTGTTTTCTTGGCAGGTTTTTTTTTAAATGTAGTAAAACTCTTTACCATCTCCTTCCTCCTACTTCTCCCACACACAACCCTCAGTTGTCAGCTTGCTCATTCTGTCACGCAAGTCAAGTCAAGCTTATTTGTATGACGCAGTTTACAACATATGTCATCACACAGTGCTTAACATAGTAAGGTATAGACCTTACAAATTTAAACAGAGAACCCAACAATCCACAGTTGCCTTTGGACTCCCTCTGAGCAAGTGGTTGGCAACATGGGAAGGAACCAAATCCCCCAGAGGAGGGGAAAAAAACCTCCGGCAGAACCAGGCTTAGGGAAGGAGGCCATCTGCCTTGACAGGTTGGGTGAGATTGGGGATGAGAGGATGTTTCTTTGCTCATTTACTTGTCAGTATTTTTCTAGTCAGTCTGCATTGTTGTTTGTCAGATTGTGGATCTTGGACCGTGGATCGTGGATCGTCCTTTGTACCCTGCTTGTTTGTATGCATTGCCTTTTCTTGACTATGGCTGCTTCACTGTTTCGAGTATTTGCCTGATGCCTCCCTATCTCTGGCTAATTTTTGGTTTTGAACAGGTTGTCACAAAAGTGGATCACTTTTAACCTGCTAGATCACCATGGTAACTTACACTGTGGTGCTAACCTGGTCCTGAGCAGGTTATGTTCAGGTAAGAAGCATATCCTTTCTTTTTTTTGTCCATTTGCGCTTTTTATCATCAGAAATTTTTTAATTTGTGTAGTGCACCATTAAAACAACCTGTAGACTGTGTGAAACAAGAGTCACATGACATGTTAAATGACCCCTTTCATGTGAACCTGCAAAGCCTCAGTTAACAAAGAAAGTTGACAGATACCTTTGTGATCTCCATTATCTCTGACTGGGGTTTTATTTTTTTACACAAAGAAAGTCGTGGCTATGTCAGACTGGCTTCAGAGTACAGCCGCCTAACCAGGTAGCAAAACCCCTACATGTACATAGACAAGAATGTGTTTTATTACTTATGACTTTTTATTTGTAAAATTACCATTTCTTCTTTCGAAAGGGCCACTAGACCCCCAGGCCTTGGGCCTGTTCCTGGTCAACAACCACAACACTCAAAATGGCAACAAAGAAATGAAACCAACTACAAAGAGAAGCATATCAACCACAAAGAGACACAAAACAACTCCAGAGAGATGCAAAAATGTGAATTACCACTAGAATCCTCAAAATAACTACAAAGAAATGTAAAATTTTTAGAAAAAAAATGCAACATAAACTGAATGAGGCAGAGATTCTCTGACTGAATCTGCAAATCGACATTGCAAATCCAGCGCAAAGAGACTATAAGCAATTACAAAGAGACAACAAAAAGCAAAGGGACTCATAGTGACTATGCAAATTAGCCTGCAAAGAGACAAGCTAAAGAGACATAAAATACCTGCAAACTACCAGAAGGTGAAGACTGACTACAAAGATGTACCCATTGTCTTTTAGGTAAGGATGAAGGATTAAGTATTTAATACACACTATAAATGACTGTGTCAGAGTTCATTGAAAGCTTCTTCACACTACTTCAAGAACAACGGAATCGTTAAGCAAGCTGCTTTGTTAAATCTGTGCCTCTGTGTTTTGATCTCAGTCCATTAAAGTTAGAAAACTTACTGGTCTTGACACTGTATCTGATGGTGTCTTTGCAGCGCTGCAGAATCTTGGAGTCAGACTCTCCTCCGTCTCTCAGCTCAAGGTCCAGCAGCTCCTTCAGCTGCTCGGGGGAGTGCCACTCACAAACCTACGCAACAAAATGTAGCTGTCACAGTCAGCCGTAGCAGAATCTAATGTCATATAGTTACATAACAAAGAAGAATAAATAATTACATTCCTACCTTTTCTCTGACATCAGATGCTTTTTTCACTGCATCTTCTATGATGATGTCCATGGACTGGTGAATAAATTCTTCTGCTGCGAGTACGTTCAGAGTGGGACCATTCAGGGAAACATCATCAATCACAACTGGAGAACATTTCACTGGATGTCCAGGGTCGGTCACAGGGCTCTGGCCTTCACTGGGACTGTCTTCTCAATAAAGACAAATGTTATCATTTGAGTTCAGACATCAATGGCTTTACAAAAAAAGTTCTATATTCTATGAAAAGTTGAGTCAAGGTAGATCATGTCCTGAATTACCCCAACATAAGCCTTCTTTGTACTCTATAATGCAATACAATAGGGCTGTGTGCAGAAAGAGGGGTAACAGTTTGTTTCCTCAAAACGTCTGTGCCACATTAGCCAGTTATGTGGTTTCCTTGTGACAACAGCATGTTGACTCAGTCATTAATTCTTCTCCTGATACTTTCTGCTTTTTCACATTTATATAGTTCCTCATTCAGCTCTGTCAGAACCTGTTTTTATTATCTATAAGACACTAGATTTTGCAGCAGCAATGTTATCAAAAAGCAGTTTCATTTTTACTCAAAATTATTTATTTATTAATTTTGAATTAATCATTTATTTATTAATATTACTACTATTTCAAGTGATTCAGTGATTGAATCGTCTAGAATAGACATATTAAGTAGTCTAACTAATAGAGAAAAAAAATGCTATATTCTTACCTTTGACGTGTCTCTCCATGTTTAATGCCACTGTCTGTGCTGGTCGCTGTACGTGCACTCACTGTATGACATCTGTATTTATAGCTACATGTCACTGCCTCCCAATGAGCTTTACGGTAATCACAATGCTGCATCATGTTGCTGGCCAACTTCCAGTAAGTTTCCACGTCAATGATCAGACAGGCTTGTGCTGAGTGAGAAAATTCCACTAACAAGCCCTTCAAACTACTGGCTTGCTGCCTTACACAAAACATGGTATGTTTAAAGTCTCCAGCCAGCCATTTTGTACCAATTTGTGACAAAGTTTTTCAATTTATTTCTATATTTTTACTTTTGTATCTCTCTTTCGGAATAAAAGGCAAAGATGACAACCCATCATGCATGAGGGTCAAAGCTAGGGCTATACAGTTTTTGGGCTAAAGCTACATATAGAAATTCTTAACTGGCAGTCAACCAAGCTCCATACAGTTTAAGCTATTTTAACTCCCTGCTCCCCCCCCCCAAAAAAAAAAATCTCAGATCTAGTCAAGTCAAGTCAATTTTATTTGTATAGCGCACAACATATTCATCACACAACACGTAGCATAGTAAGGTATAGACCTCACAAGTTTAAACAGAGAACCCAACAATCCAAAGCTGCCTTTGGACTCCTTCTGAGCAAGTGGTTGGCAACAGTGGGAAGGAACCAAATCTGCCTCGACCAGTTGGTTGAGAGTGGGGATGAGGGGGCGGCGATGGGGCTAGCAGGTTAGCAGATAGAGAACATACAATAGAACAGAACAATAAATATGAATAGAAATATTTTGGGAGTTGGTGAGACCAGCAGCTGCAGGTCAGGGACCTGGCCAGAGACGTCCACAGAGAGAACAAACACAGGACCTCAGGGGAAACCAACACGTTCTCACTCCTTACTCGTCATATATGGAGGCTTGGCTAGGCTCCCTCTGCGTCACATATTCAGGTGTCAGGTACACCCGTCTCGTCATTAATTGACTTCCAGGGTGCTCTTATTGAACGTTACAGATCTCCCTAAACTTTGGGAATTGACGACTTGAGAACGTGGAGGAGGAGGAGCCTGTTCTGGTGTTTTGAAATAACATACAAAATGTGCTACGATTCTGTCACAGCTGATGTATTTGTACATTTTTAACCTTTTCGTTCATTGGACTTCAGCTTTAACATATTTTGTCCTGCTTGTCTGAATACACGCTAGATTGGTTGCTAGTTGCTTTTGACAAAAATAAAGTCGTCAAGAGGATTTGGAAAGTCGCCACATTTAGCGAGAAAGCGCTGCCAAATTGGCAACACTGTGCGTGCCGGCAGGTGTCGCACATCAGTTGTTGTGACGCATATTTTGAGTGACAAAAAATTAAACACGTTTAATTTTAATGTTACAAATTCACAAAAATCTTCAAATTTAGAATTACATTTTAAAAACTAACCAACTGAAATAGAATACATTGACAGTAAAATACTTATTATTTATTTTCCAAAGCCACAAGGAGCCACAGCAAAGGGAAGGAAAGAGCCACATGTGGCCCCAGAGCCGCGGGTTGCCGACCCCTGGTCTAGATGAACTAACTAGACTTTATTTATAAATCCATGTTACAAAAGCAAAGCACATTTTCAACCATATGTAAGATATAGGTTAAAGCTACTTTACTAGCTACTCCGCCTCCTGGCAGGTTGAGTAGGTTGTTAATATCTCTTCACTTTGCTGATCAGCAGCACTGATACAGGAAGACTCCCGATCCAGTGCAACAGGAATCCAGTCCTCCAGCAGGTTTCAAATCCTCAGGATTACGGTGCAATTTCTGGTCGATAGAAGGCATTTAGACTGTGACTATATAATTTAGGAGTGAAACAACAACGAAAAGGCTTCCCAATGGACCTTAAGCAAACGATATTGAATGAAAATACTAAACATTACGCCTTTTAGTAATTTTATTCAGTACTACTTTCTCTTAGGTCTTGCGAGATCGTTTCTACCGTGGTTGCTATGGATGCTGCTACATGCATGGCACGGCCATGGCATGGCATGAAGTCCTACAAACAGCTGAATGCAGACAAACTAAGCTTCAGATCGACCAATCAAAACCCAAACTACGTTCATTATTTGTGAGTCTCTGTCATTATCGTAGTTAACATTTTATTTTTATGGAGGCCTCAGTTTGTAATGGATGTGAAATTACAGAGCAAAGTCAATAGGAAAGGTGTTGTGTGTTTTGGCACGTACACTGTGTCTCTGGCACTTTCTGTGATGCCTTTCTGAACAATATTGATGATGAAATAGGACAGATCCCCTGTGAAAACTGTTTTACACAACTTTTTGATATTGCGACTGAATGCAGTTCAGGCTTGTGTCATGTTGAGGTCTGTTGCAACTTTCACGAAAAAGTACAGTGAAGCTGGCACGTTCAGTTGCTGTCAAGTTAAAGAAAAGGAGTGCATGTTTGAAAGATGTGCAAGCGTTTGCTCCAAGGTAGCCACAAGTTTTATCGTGAAAGTGTTCATGCAAGTTTCCTGTTATAACCACACTGTGTGTATTATACTGGATGCATAATCATAGAATTTACACTATAAATGCAGTGCACCTATACCATACTAAGCCACTTTTTAATGTTCTGACACATTCAAGAATCAGGAGAATATACCACTAGGACATTGCTTATGATACAAGGTGGCTTTCAGTGTGTTTGTTTAACAGGTTTAACAGGATGTTTCACGTATACTGTTTTGTAGCCCATCTATTCAATGGCCTCCAGCTACAGAACTCATCATTCTGCTAAAGTGATGAACATGACATAAGCTGTTAAAGAACACCAAGAACAAAATGTGAAATATTTGTATATCATTGTCATGTGGAAAAATCCATTGCTTAGAATCCACATCCGATAGTTTGCAGCAGCCATTAAGGTTAGAAATGAACACAACAGCCCAAAAGACTGAAGCTAATTTACCTAAAACAGGATTTCCTTATTGATCAAAGCATTTCTCACAATTCATGTCCTCTACTATAAAGTGTATGTTCTGACAGATTTTCAGAATATCGAGCAATACTGTAATAAGTTCATATGCCATCCCACATGATGCGGTTCTTTCACCTTCTGATCGTTCATAGCCACAGGCCAGTAAAATCCATTTCTACCTATCTGTTGTGAAAGTTGAGCACAAATGATTTGGCTTTATAGCACAGATTTGAACTAACTCTGTAGAGACAAAGAAACACGGGTTAATGCAGGTTATAGGACTGGCTTCATATCAGCAGCTTTATTAAGCCCATATTGTTCAACAAGCACGAATCAGACTTTAATATAATACCCTTTGCCTTATCTCCTAAGCGATTCTTCCTCACTACAAAGAGTAAACGATTCTCTCAAAACTAGAACATTTGAGCAAAGTTACCCATCCATGAATTCTCTCTTTTCAGTGTCTGTTTATTATAATACCTGCATTTGCATTTTGTCCAGCTGCTGTGTGGGGGTGTGATGCTAAATGTTAAAGAATAATAACGCACAGGCATCATGTTGTGCACAAATCCAGCTTATTAACACACTGGGAGGCTTTAATGTTTGAATGTAAGGTCTGGAAGAGTTGAAACAGCAATGGCATGTTACCACACCTCGTTTTTTTGTTTTGTTTGGTTTTGTTTTTTTCTTTTTTTTTATCTAAAAGCTTAATTTTCTACTAAACAGGGTGCATATGCTGGACATGGATTCTTCCAGAAATATTGTAGTTTTAAGAACACTGAAGGCACAAAGCAGATTATAGGTTGTCACCCTGTGGCTGAAAATGGTATTGCAGTGCATACAATTTGGGCCCCAGTATATGGTATAGACCCAGTACAGCATATCATTGTCCTCAAATCCTTTCATATATAAATAATTTAACTTGTAATGTAACAATGTGTTTTACTGCCTGAGTATTTGTTGCTGATGAACCAAATGAGGAGCTGTGGGTATACTGTTAGATTTAGGGTGGGAGCATCCCGTCAAAAACAAAAACAACAACAACAAAAAACAGAGCCACATGTGACACAGTATCACAAAGGCTACATCTGAATATAGTCATCTTGTGTCATATGTAGTCAAAAATGCTGAATTACTTACAAAATTACAAAAGAATACTTTTTGTTTTTACTAGCAAATTAATCGTCATCAATTGCTTGTGGAATCAGGGAACATGTCAACCTGTCGTGCTTTCACAGGGAGTGATTTAATGCAAGTGAAACCATGCAAACTTGATCACACCTTCACTTAAGTGGGTCTGTTCATGGTTTTGTAGCCATCTGGTAGCAGGAACAGAGCTCACCGCAAACTGCTTCCTGTGTTTCGATAGTAACGCAGTGACTGATTCTGCAGAAAGCCAGAGAACGGATGTGAAAAATGAATGAGTTTGGCTCATTAGCTGTAAAGGGCTCTCTCTACCACTTCATTAATTACTCTAATAACTGGCACTGGTAAAACATGCAGTGTGGGATTAGTACAGTAGTGACTAATTGCATGCTCATTTAAGCATGTTATCACTCTTTTCATATGGTTTTGACTAGAGGGAGACTTGCAAGCTGTGATGGGACGAATGATATTTTAAGGTACCGTTTTTTAACACAATGAGATACTTGACGACGGAAGAGAAATGCAGAAGTAGATACTCTGCAAATAGAACCAATTTTCATGAAAAAACAGCCACCTAATGTGTTGCTAGGCTACTTTTAACAGCTCTACTGATCACTGATAGAAGATGAAGCCATGATTGGATAAAACTCAGTCATGCATGCTGTGGAAAAAAAGTTTCTTATGCAAGTTTACCGCACCATCAGATGTGGAAAATGAAACCGATCTATCTCTGGTTATATTTTCACATATACAACATTATGCAAAATAGGTGTGGAAGACACACTGGGCTGCGCTCTCAGGCTGCACCACCTTTACAGTCTCTGGGCTGTAAAGTTTTACATCATTTCTCCTGTTCGCATCTGTGATGTTAATAAGTTGTGTTTACTTTTGTGGAAGTATATGACCAACCTTAACAATGTTACCCTGTAAATCATGCATA